TAGTACTCTTTCTCCTCAGATGTGGTGTATAAAAAAAAATAATAAAAGATTGGTTTGCAGGCACCCAGATTTATTGGCAAGAATTTGTAAACTTCTTGAACGCAAAAAAATTCGACCTGATTTGTTTTCCAAGAATTTGTTTTCCACGCTTTATTTACTGTGATCAAGAGCCATTATTGCTCTTAAATGTGACCGAATACTATTTTTTGGGTGTACATATAAGGCTATATCAACTCGATACAAGATTTGTTTCACTCAAAAATCACTTAGCTTTTCTCTCAAAAGTTACATGAATGTGCCCTTAAGTTAACTGATTTGTGGAATACAAAATTATTGTTTGATTTAAGTTATAAATTTATCAATGGGAGCTTCACTTTTAGCCGTGGCTAAATCTATATATTACTCTTCCAATGCTAACGTAACTTGAGGAGATACCTGGGATGTCATTGATGTTGCCAATGCTCCCACTGACATTGTTGACCAGGTGTTTTGAACTGACACTGGTGTTACTGTGCATGTACTAGCTGAGATGCCATTTATTACTGCAGTACAATCAGTTCATATCAACTTCCATGTAAACTCATCGTTAGAAATTGACCCGTATGGAAATTCTGTACAGCTAACGTAGAAAAGAATGTGGTAGTAATTGTAATGGGCGGTGGTTAGAAATGGCAAAGGATGTTTTTCTGCAAAACAACATTCCCACAAAGGATTTTTCGGAGGCTGTACGTAAGCTGTTGGACCAACCTCGTTTCCAGGTTCTCTCCTACCCGCCCTATGGAGCGAGAGAGAGAGACCCTGTAAAACGCTGGTCAAGTGTCTCCCAGAATCTGGGAGATAACACACAAACGATTTGGGGGCAGGTAAGTGTGAGATTTGTCTCTAGAGAGTGTAGACAGGTCAGTGCAGCCGTGACCTGATCCTGAACGCGGAAAATAATGCACAAAATTCTTTGACAGAAAAAGCGTAACTTCATGCAGAATATCTGGATGTTAATGGGATGTTTATCAGCGATACTTTCTTTTGGCATATGCAACGGAAATCACGGGTGCCAAATCGCTAGGAAATCACCGTTTGTGCAGTCAAAAATAATTTCGGTATCCTGATCTGCCCGGTAGTAGTATTCATACCAAAACGCACCAGATTTGAATTACCGTATTGTGGAGGCCACTTTAGAAAACAAATGTACAGTATGTAACTGAATGTGTTTTCAAGACTACTAATTACGCAGGTTATGTTGTCTGTTTTGTCTCTGTTTATACTATTTCCTGCTGTCTTCCACGTCGCATTGGTATATAATTATTTTTATCTTTGATCTATTTACCACTTTTCTATTGCCACATCATAGCAAAGGTTAGGGGGTGGAAAATGCTGACATTTTAGGCTATAGCTTTCCGTGAAGTCACTAGATCTAAAATATTACTCTCATCATAAATGTATTAACTGAATTCCTTGCTCTCAATGTTAGTGCCATGTTTTGTCACGCCAACTGCTAAGACCAGAAATGCTGTAGCCTTTTTATTTGGCCTGATTACCAGCCGCTGTCAGACAAGCATTGAAACTCTTAATATAGACTTTCAAGATACAAGGATTTTGCCTTCAAAAAATTAACTCGCTTGTGTATAACTCAAGAGCGTAGATTTTTAGCGATTGGTGTCATCGGTTAAACCGGTGACGCTAGTTTTTGATTCTGTGGTAATTCACTTGTTTATCTGATAGTTTTGTTTAGGCAAAAATTTCCCTTAGTTTCAGTTATAGTTGTAGTAGGGTTAGCAAATCTATCTTGCTGTTGTGATCACTGCGTGAACGTTGCGAATAAACGAGACAAAAAATTGTGAGACAAAGGACTCCTCCCTCAGAATTAATTTTGTTCTGGAGCCACGTAACCAGCGTTTTCCAGGGTCTCTCTTTCTCTCTCGCTCCGTAGGGCGGGTAGGAGAGAACCCTGGGAACGAGGTTGCTGTTGGACAAGGGCCCGAGAAAATATGGAAACATCTATTTGAAAGGACCAGCTACTTGTGGGGAAACATTTCTAGTTAATCTGCTGACGTCCACCTTCAATAAATTTTCTAATCCTGCTACAGCCATGTTTGCATGGGTGGGGGCCGAGGATGCTAAAATCCTGTGTCTGAATGACTTTAGGTGGTCTCCACATATCATTCCCTAGTCATTGCAGACGTTTCTAATGCAGCAACCAACGTTATTAGAATTTGTTTTTCCACTTCATGCCGCAAAGCAGATAAATCTGTTGGAATTTCTGGCTAACGTTTCATATGAGAATGAAAAAGAGGATAGGGACGAGCAAGCAAGGGCTATGTTTGAACAGTATGTGCACGAAATTGCCCAAAGAAAGGAAGGTATTTATCTGTTTGTTAAGACCACTTAGCCTTATGAATACTTCTCGGTATTTTTTAAGCGCATTTTCACCTCTGTTTGCCAAGAGTTTAGAGAAACCTGCTGAGACATTTTTTAATATACAAGGAAACTATACTAAAAACAGTGTCATTAAGTATTATTAAAATGTTTTAATTTTTTGAGGTTGTTGTAAGCTATTATGATTTTGGCTAATTCTAGTGCCTATACATTGGTAATTACAAAAAGCATCAAAAAGGCAAATAACACAGAGTAGAAAACCACTTATTAGGGTGCAAAGAAATCAGCTTTACAGCCTGCCAATAAGGCAGGCTGTAGCTAGCGAGTACTAGCCTGAAAGTCATATCAAATTAATAGCCCCCAAAAGATTAATGAGCAGGATTGGTTACAGTTTTTTCTGTAATTAGAATTCCCCTAAAAGGTTCGCATGCCCATTGGGCAATTCATGAACAGAATTCACTAGCCCGATGGCAGAATTCTCTAGCCCCAGGGTATCAGGTACTACTTTCTTTGCATGCTGATTTATCTGCCTAGTATAATCCATTTATAGACAAATTTAGAGGTTTACTGATTGTCTTCAGTCGTGTTCTATTTTAGTTTAAATACGTGGCCCATAATGCCCATAATGTCTCCCTAGTCAACATCGCGAGGAACATCACCAAATGTCCATAATAGGAAGAAGTCTGTCAAATAAAATGACTGAAGAACTACAGGGACTAACTTTAAGTATGCATTTTGGGGAGGTGTTAGTCTTAGCTGCCAGTTAAGAGAAAATTGACTGTAGTCGACTGGCAGCAATATGCTCTTTCAATTCGTAGGTGAAACTAGGTTGAATGACTTGTGCTGTTCTGGACTGGCTGGGATTTCCTTCCTCCTCGAAGAGACGTCTTGATTGCTAAGTTTAGTAGCAACAAAAACAGCAAGTTACCAACATCAGAAAGATGTTTTGTTGTCTTTAGTGCTCACTGTGGGCCATGAGACTAACGGAGACTTCCTGAGTGCCATGGACATTGCTATCATGTGTGGCTCCAGGGGATTTACATATGCATGGACTTCTTCTTTAAGTCTAATCAGCGTTTGCCACTTGTAACTAATTGTCAGCTTTATCGCATTCAAGTCAAAAGCCCGTTGTTGTGTTTTAAATCCTTATTTTGTAAGGCTTTCTGTTTAGGATCTTTGGCCCATTCAGGTCTTGTTAAATTTGATTTAGGGCCACATGTAACCATATTTAAGGTGTTCTAATGTGTAATGAAAAAACCTTCCTGTCTTTTATTGCTGTCTGAACAGATTAACAAAGTGTATGATCACATTGTCAAAGGTATACAGTTACTAGTAGGAATAAGACGGTGGTGTCTTGTACATGTTCATTGTTACTAATTTTTAATAAGATAATCAAAATCGAAGAATTTTGATGATTCTCATAGTGAGATTTCCTAGTCTCTACAAAAGTTATGTTATGTACCACAGGAAGAAAGGGTTATAACTCATTCCCCCAAATTTAATGGAAACATCATTTCAGAGCTCGACTACAGTGATTTCTATAGATGGATCAAAGACAAACTTAATACTTGAGAGAAAATGTATTAACCTTACGAAGCCAATTTCAAGTTGTTACAGCTTGTAGCACAGATTTGTTTTTTGGTCAAATGGTTCATCAACAATTTGACTAATCATAACATTGTCTTTAATGAGTTGTACAATTCAGAAGCACTAAATTAGTGGCTTTGTGAATATTGTATTAGTTAAATTTGAGGCTTACTGACAATCCTCTACAATGGCTGTGATGAGCCCCACGGATAATCCTTAGGTGGTGAATGCTGTAAATACTGATTGCTAGCCTGCATCTAGGTGGGCCTTCTCTGCCAAAAGGGCCTCCATTAGGGTATTTCTCTCCTCTTGCCTAATGGTTCGCACCTTCTCAGGTCTGGCAGTTTCATTTTCCTCAAAAGTCTTTTCAAACGGCAATGGCTGTTTACAGTCATCCTATTCACAATCGCACTTTCTAGGACAGTTTGAAAAACATTGGTGAACTGGTGTGACGGACTCAATGTCAACATTAAAATGTTTGAAAATTTCTTTACCGATGCATTCATTTGCTTTAACAAACTCTTTAAGAGCAATTCTCCAGGAAAGTGAAGCAAAGTTATAAATGAAAATTTTTAACCCCCCTTCAATTTTTGTGTGGAGGTAGGCTCAAGAAGTAAAAATAAACGAGTCTGGTTCTCGGGTGCACGTGAACCAATTCAAATGAAATTCATACAGATGGTAGAGCCACTCTCCCAGTTTATAAAAATCGCCGTTAAAAGATTTTGGGTTTTATAGGCAAGAAGAAATTGCTCGTTTTACTATGTCCCCTATCGGCCATTTTGACAAGCAGGAAAAACAAGCACAACCATATTCGTAATTTTTCTGAAAGTACTCTTTCCACATAAGTCAAATTAGCAGCAGAGCTTGCATAGATATTGAAGTTTCTAGATATTATAATATCTATTTGGGGAAAATTATATTCTGGCCATGGGTGCTAAAGACATCCGAGGCAAGTTTTAAAATATTGCAAAATTGGAAATTTTGAGGGCTTTAGAATTTCGTTCAAACAGGCTTTAGAGAGAGAAAATCAGCTTCAAAAG